AGAGAGAGAGAGAGAGAGAGAGAGAGAGAGAGAGAGAGAGATTCGGACAGAGTATCCAGGAAAGGAAAAGAGCATGAGTCTCGCCTTTGCTTGGGGTCTGGGGTTTTTACTATCAATTATGGTCAGGTACATGTGTCCTCTTAGGCATCTAGGAACTGGTCAGAACCAGGACAGAGTCCGGGTGTCCTTCATAAGTCACTCATTCCCTGAAGTCATGGGTCTTGGCACCAAGGTGTTTGGAGTCAGTAGTCTTAGAGAATGTTTATGATGATCCTGCCTCATCACTCCTTAGATTTATTGTGCTGGGAGACTCCAAACATATTATTATCTCTTTGTCCCTTACAAGGAAGACATATGTAGCCTGGATGGCTCAGTCTGTAGTGAATATGACTATTGATCTCAGGGTTGTGAGTTCAAGCCTCACGTTGGGCATAGAGCCTACTTTAAAAAAACAAAGGAGAACATAGGCTATTTGCATTACAAGGCATGTGTAGAGTAGAATGTGGGTGCAGGTCTTAGCAAGAATAGAAACTGGAAAAGAAGCAAAGGAAAAAAAAAATGGCTTTTTATGTTTTTTTCCCCATGGGGTCTCTTCAGCTTCTCTGTCTCATACCCAGCTGTGAAGTTGGAAACAAAATAGAGAAAGAGCCACTGCACGTTGTCTCTCTCTACAGAGATGGTCTTCAAGTATGGCTGGTAGGAAACATGGTACCTGGTTCTCATGGAATTTAGAATCCAAATAGTGCTTTCACGACAGAGACAGCAGTAAGAGGCAGATCAGGGAGAACTTGCTGGCTTCTGCCAATGATTTGGATTTTATCACGAATCGAATGAGAAGTTATTGAAGGGTTTTTTTTGTTTGTTTTTTTAGCTGTAGTTGGGGTGTGATCTGGTTTTAGAAACAATAGTGTTTTAGAAAACCAAGAGATGTGGAGAATGGAACAGGTTTGGGGGTGATTATTTTTGATGGAAACTCTTAAAAGGAAACATTATAGAACTCTGAGGTGAATGTACTGCCCACCCCCGATAACCTCACAAAATACTAATAAATAATCTCAATTGTGTCCAGGCTGCCTAATTGGTACCAGCATTTCTTTCCATTATATTGACCTAAGACTTCTTGTCTAGGGCTCAGAGGTAACCTTTTGATCAAGGTAGTCAACAGTGAGACATTCCTGCAGCTTGAGGTGAGATGCAGGCCTGGGACTGCTTCCCACCTTCTTCTGACTCTCTGTGAGCTAGATTGTCTGAGTTTTGAACACCAGAACAAGAAAAATGCGACCTTGCAAACGAGGAAATTTAGTGACATTTTGTGATTGCTTGAGCAATCCCCATTGCACACATACAACTCCCAAGAATAAGCAATATTATCTTGGTATTGAAAAGAACTAATCAATTTTTTCTCTAATTTCTTGAAAATAACAAGCAAAAGGGAATGTCTGCCCTTAGAGACTCTTTTTACATTATTATGCCAGGCAAATTAGCTCTTCTGAGCTACAACCCTCAACACTTCTTAATTTCCACAAACAGAAAGGTCTCCACAACAAAAGCCCACAGAAGAGGGTTTGCTCAGAACAGGAACTTTTAGCAAGGAGCAAATGCAAGCCTCTGCTTCTTTTCAAGAAGGCTTACAACTTGGCTGAGTCTTTCCTGTTCTTAACCTGGTCTTTGCCATGGTGTCCTTGAAAAGTATGCATGTGTGTTAAGAAAGAAACTTGTTTTCAGTGTTAATCTCTCTGAATGGTGGCAGTTTAGATTTTTTCTTTACTTCCCTCCTCTTCTTTATTGTGGAATTTTTTTTTACAGTAAGCATATAGTAATCGGAAAAAAAACACCCTAGAACTATTTTTATTTTGGAGAACCATGGGATCTTTATAATCGTACACAAATTAACTCATATACACTGCTGATAAAGGCTTGCATAGATAAAATGCTAAAGGATTATCGAGTATCCCAGTACTTTTTGTTTGAAGAGGCCTCAAACAAATGGAAGTTGAGGAGGGTAACCAGTCATTGTTCACGATGTCATGAGGAGGACACTAAGGTGTAGATCATTCACAGGGCTATGAAAAAGACAAAAAAGATTAATAAGCGGAGAGCTGCAATAATCCAAATAAATTGAGATCATGGAACCAGTTGGTTGGATTTAACCATTTCACATTGTCAGATAACTCCTGTTCAACTTGTATCTGTGTTTCCTGTTGAATATCTAATGGTTTTGATGCAGCTGGGAAGACAGAGCATTAATCTCAGATTGTAAATTGGGGGAAGAAGCTCCTTGCAGGTGTTTTTTCACTAACTCCCAGGAGTGAGACATATTATATTGTAAGAGAGTGACACAAATTTTGTCATGTCGCCGGTCACATTGTATACTTTGATGATCAACAAGTGCCTGTTGGCGGTCCCCCATGCATTCGAGGGCTGCTTCAGCGGCTTGTCGTCTCTGCCTAATACTGTTAGCAACCTGCCTTTGAGTAGTCGTTGCCTTGGTGATATCAGTCATTACGTGATTGACTACTTTAGCATTGTGGATAGACTTTGTCAGGGAGACCTCGGCAACAGAGGCTATGGTTAAGATGACAACCGATGAGATAAGGAAGGCAATGAGCCATCCAACAAATCTTCTAGGTCTCCACTTAGAAATGGCTTGGGCTAATTCAGCAATACCGCTGCACCCTTCCTAGGGCCCTGTTAGATTTACCGGCAACCAAATTTGAGGCTATCCTTTTAAGATAAACATAGGCGAGACAGAAAGTTTGGTGATGTTATAATGGCTGCTACAGGCTGTGTACCAAGCCAGAGGAGGTACTTCAAAAACAATATGGGTTGTCGAATCTTGTATTAACTGGCTTAGTGGAAATTCTGAAAACATAGGGATGAGGTGTACAGATCACGACGCTGTCTGAGACAATCTGTGTGAGATTCATATGAAAGGTACCATTACTATTAGCAAAATGCCTGTGAGAGAGATGGCATAACAAAACGGGAAGGCTAAGACGCTGTAAGTTGTGATGCCACAGGTTATGTGAACCTGTTTTCAATTCTTAATGTTGGCCCTGAAAGTCCACCATCAGTGCAAAGGATGGAGAAGTTGCGAGGTTCTGAAAACCCAATTGGTTTGCCCACTGAGGTTGTGTCCTTTAGGACCCTAGTTAATGAGAGTAAGATTTTGAAAAAAATTCCTCTTTATGGGCAAGGGAGGTCCGGCAGGGCTGCTAGATGACTGAAGAGCCACAAGGGGACCATATCTTCTTTACGTGGCAATGATCAGTGGGGAGGAGTGGATGAGACTCCTTGGTGGAGGTGGATGTAGCGAAGGAGGCTACTGAAATGAATGTCAAATTTGCCTTGTGGTCCTGTGTTTTAGGCACGTGGTGAAGATACATCTGTGCTGTGATTTTTAAACATCCAGAAGGTTTTCAAACATCCAGGTTACACAAAAAGGAGGGAAATGTGATGATGATATGGGGCAAGCTGACAGCAAAGCACAGGCTAACATCACCCCATCCACCCCTAGGTGGATTATGTGTGATATTCCTTGGACACTCCTGGCTACTCAAGAACAGAGAAAAGGGGTTTAAGTACCTGCCATGGTGATGTGGGAGACTAAGACAAATGAAAAATTAAATTTCTTTACTGCCTACAGCCCATTGACAAGTCCTTGAAACTGGCAGAGTGACTTCCCTCTAGGAGCTCAGCTGCCTCAATGATGACACTTTCTAGGGGTAAAAGGGAATCTTAGCTTAACATTATCCTGACATCCAGGATCCCGTAAGTCTACTTTGACATATAAAAATTCCTTTAGAAAGTTCCTTAATCTCAACTGCCCCAAGATAGATGCTGGCAATCATACTCCAAGCTTATGGCCCCCAATACACATCTGAAGGGTCTCATGACTGAGGTTTTACTAAACAGTAATAAATGGAGTTTCCCTAGCAACAGCTAGCCCCTCAAGGTCCTGGAAACCTTGCTTCCAAGATTCCTCAGAGACTTACTCTATCCCTGACCCCTGCCCAACCTGAGGGTATGTAATGAGTTACCCATCATGACCCCCCGCAGCTCTTCTGCCCACGGGTCCTGTCCCTGTGCTTTAATAAAATCACCTTTTGCACCAAAGACTTCAAGAATTCTTTCTTGGCCGTCAGCTCCAGACCACCCTACCATCATCCCAAAACTTCATTAAGGACACAAAAGGAACAGAAGTATTCAGCTTTAACCAATCTCTCCATTTAGTAAGAGGGCCTTTTGGCAGAAGCCAGATGCCTTCAGTCCAAAAAGAATCATTACTGGTTAGTGGACGGTCTGCATCCCACCATGTAAACAGGTTAAAGAAAGGGGGGTCTATGATATGAACCCAATACAGTGAAGAAAAAGCAGTAGTGTCTGGATAAAGAAAAAGATTCAGCAAATCATTACCTTAGCCGAGTTTTGAGAAACTACAGCTAAATATGCTAAAAACCTGTTTTCTGGGGTTGGTGGCGCTCAGACACGGCCTATGACCTCACTGACATGTTGATCAAGCTTCTTAAGTTGTTCCCAGGTGACATCACTTGCCTTGGTCATTTGTGGGCATGGTCTCCCCTTACAAAGACAAATGGGCCATCTGAGGAAGCGGGTTGAAAGGCTGATCCTTCCAAATCATGGTGTGGTTTGATCAGATGGGCACGTGCCCAGTGCGGTCCTGATGGGAGAACACATGCATGTCCCCATCCCCATGTTATCAGTTCATAGGGTCCTTTCCATGAATTATTGCCTCGTATATCTTTAAGTAGCACTTAGGCTCTGATACTTGAGCCAGGAGATGTGGTGCAAAATGCCATTCAGCAGCTGTGAGGCCATGGGAATCACAATTTAAAAAATTTAGAGTGTGTAAGGCTTTATACAGTGAATTCCAAGGTGGGGGGTCATTGTGCAGTTTCACCCTTTTTTGTTTGTGAAGCGGTTTTTTTTTTTTTTTTAATTTAATGTTTATTTATTTTGAGAGAAAGAGAGAGGGAGAGACAGAGTGTAAGCGTAGGAGGGTCAGAGAGAGGGAGACACAGAATCCAAAGCAGGCTACAGGCTCCTAGCTGTCAGCACAGAGACAGACATGGGGCTCGAACCCACAAACCATGAGATCATGACCTGAGCTGAAATTGAACGTTTAACTGACCGAATCACCCAGGTGCACCTGTGAAGCATTTGTTTTAAAGTGGCATGTGTACATTCTATAATAGCTTGTCCAGTAGAGTTATATGGTTGTTAGCAAAACTTAGCTCCTTTAACATTGAGAAGTTTTAACTAAATAAAGACCTGAAAAAGACAAAACATAAGCTTTGGTTTTCCCAGCAGACAAAAGAGGAAAAAAACAAACAACTTTGTTTACATTTTCTTATCAAGAGCAGATCAACAGTCCAAGAAAACTTAGTCTCTTGAACACAGAGAAAAGCAGAATTTGAATCTTATACCAGTGTACTTTTAAAATCTATTCATTTCAACGTTAGTCCATCCTGACCACACATAAAATCCCTTTCCAAAGATTTCCCTTCACGAACCTTCTACAACTTTCCTTTGCATTCAGATTTTGTCCCAAGCCATTTCTCTGCCAACAACCAGTCTCATTTAGGACAAAATTACTTTCTTTTACCTTCAACAAAAAAATGTATTTCCATTCTTTAATCTTTCTTACATATCTCCTACTTTTCTACATATGCAATTGCTTTCCTTATTTCCATCAGTCTTTAGGACACTTAGCAGAATTTTAGCTCTTAGAAACCTTAGTCTCCAATGAAAACTTCGTAACTGATGAGGGAGTGTGGGGCAAGCTGAGGGTCAAATACAGCCTGGCACACACACTCCCCTCCCCCACCCCCCACCCCAGGTGTAATAGGTGTGATATTCCTTTGACATTCCTGGCTACCCAAGAACAAAGGAAAGGGATTGAAGTGCTTGCCATGCTGATGTGAGAAACTAAGGTAAATGAAAAATTAAATTCCCTTAATGCCTACTGCCCATTGACAAGTCCTTGAAACTGGCAGAGTGACATCTCTCTAGGAGCTCAGCTGACTCAATGATGACACTTTGCTGGGGGCAAAAGAGAACCTTAGGTTAACAGTGTCCCAACCGGGAGGATCCTGTAAATCTACTTCCTGTATCTCAACTGCCCCAAAATATATGCTGGCAATCATACTCCAAGCTTATGATCCCCTGATATACATCTGAAGGGTCTCATAACTAAGGTGATATTAAACTGTAATTTGTGGAGTTTCCCTAGCAACAGCTAGCCCCTCAAGGTCCTGGAAACCTTGCTTCCAAAATTCCGTACAGACTTACTCTATCCCTGACCCCCTCCCAACCTGAGGGTATATAATGAATTACCTGTCAAACCCCAGTGCAGCTCTTCCTACCCATGGGTCCTGTCCCCATGCTTTAATAAAATAACCTTTTTGCACCAAAGAGGTGTTCAAGAATTCTTTCTTGACTCTCAGCTCTAGACCACCCCATTATCACCCCAAAACTTCATCAGTAACCAATTGAGAACTGTTATATCAGAATTTTTTTCAGATGGTAAGTTTATCAAGTGAGCGCAATGCAGGTTTTCCATAGTAAAATTTTAATAAAGTATGAAGCATGTTTATCAGACCCAAATAGTCTTAGTTTCTCTGCAATAAGTCAAAAGCACAAACCTACATCTAGTCATCAGTGCTTTAGCCTTTTATCTCATTAGATAGCCAATGAATTCAATCCCATTTGTTGTGCAAACAAAACTTTAACGTCTGGTTACCAAGGACTGAAAGCTATCTCCACAATTACCCATGACAACTTTGAGACAGACAAAATTAACCATTATTTTAAGTCATCCTTTTGCTAAGAAATTGCAACAGAGAGAACACAAGCTTACTTGACTTTCAGCAAGCCTAGATAGAATAAATTCCATATTTAATGCTGATAAACAGGTCTATCAAAACCCAACAAACTTAAATTATCTTAAACACTGAATACGGTTTACTTGGGTCCACTTAAGACAATTTGTTCTCCATGGTTAATTTTTACCTGGAATGCTGGTGGGGAATATGAAGTGGGGGGGCCCAAGGGGGTGCTCTTTGCTCCCGGACAGGAGGGTAGGAGGAGGAACTAGTGGTGCCTGAGGCACTGAGGGTGGGATAGGAACCAGTTATGCAGGGGCCGCACCCCAGATGCTGCAGAAACAGAAGGGGGAGGGGAAGGATGAGTCAGTGAGGTTTGGCCAAGAAGCCTGGAAGCAGATAAATGCCCAGAGAGCAGAGAAAGACGTCTCCGGGTCCTAAAGCCTGTCAGCTCAGAGGAGCAGACGCCAGGTTTTGTTTTGTTTTGTTTTCCATCAACTAGTGGAATTAGGCAATCCATGTCAGGCCAGAGAAGACAGGGAATTTCCCTGAACCAAATGGGGTTTCAGCAGCTGCTTGGAGATATTCCTTAAAGTCCCTGTCCTGAGGTACACTAACCACAGTTGGCTCCAATTGTCATTAACCAGGGAAATGAATGAATGAATGGGAGGAGTAGGCACAGAAGGGGCAGTGGAGGGGTCATCATCCATAGTAGGAGGTGTCGTAGGAGAGGTGGGTGTTAGGCTTTCTTAATTTGTTCCTTCTCTGGAGATACACGTAAGTGACATAATGCTGTACAGACTAAACTCCAGGTCACTAAAATGGAATCAGGAAGCTTCTCTCCTTTTTCAAGTTTTCTTGTTAGATTTTTTCCCACTAGCTCCCATAGATCTAAATCAACTGTACCATGGTTGAGGAACCAGGAACAGGCATCTCTTATTGCTCATAACAATTTACTTAATTGATCTTTTGTAACCATACAATGAGCCGCCTTTAAAAGCTCCTGTAAAGTTTTTAAATATAATAGCTGTTCCTTTGGCATTTTTTGGCCCATGGTAGAGAAAGAGAAAAGTACTCTCATTGAAAACTAGACACGTTGGCAGCTATCCCAAGCGGGTACTGCTGTCCCTTACCGCGATGTGGTCTGTCAGAAGTCTGGACAATTTCACTTTCTTTGCCTGAATGTGTCCATTCTGCCCCCTGAAAATCTTCCTCTCAAGTCTATCACTATTGCGTCAGTGTCACCAGTTGTGGATTCAGCTTCGGGCTTTGTCCAGCAAAGCTGAGGAGAGCAGAAAGGACTACTCAAAACTCCATTCAAGTCAAGGGAGGTGAGAGGGAGGCTAAGGGAAGTTTCCCCCAGCTGCTCCCAAGCTCCCGTATTCATTGAGTCTGCATTTAGAGAAACATTGCACAATACATCAGTGGGCTACGTGCCAGTAAGAATGTATAGAAAGCGTGCAGAAAACCAAGGCAGGATAAAATATCACATGAGATAACATGGTCTAAGGAATTTATGAACACAGGCAGGACCTAACCCATAGATATACATTAACTAACCCGTAGATATACACTAACTAGATAAGCAAAGCAAGGCCGCTGTTTTCAGCAAGGCCAAAAAGCAGTTTTCTGCTTTGCAATGCGTTCCCTATAATCTTCTAACCCAGGACATTGCTCTTTGATTTCCCTGACATGCTGAGAGCATGGAGCCTGTTTGGGATTCTCTGTCTCCCCTTCTCTCTGCTCCTCTCCCACTCATGCTGCCTCTGTCTCTCTCAATGTAAATAAATAGAATTGGCCATCATTTTAAGTCTTTTTGCTAACAAATTGCAACAGAGATAACACAAGCTTATTTGACCTTTAGTAAGCCTAGGTAATAAAACGACATTGAGGCACTAAGGCAGCCGTGAGGAAGGTCATGCTCTGCATGTTTCAGGTGTTTATCAGTGGGCTGCAATCTGCAAGGAGATTTATTTAAGTTACATCTCTCTAGCCTTTGTTTTCCTCATCATTCCCCCTTCCCCCCTCCTCTATTTCCCCCTTTCCTTTCAATCATCTTCTCCACAGTTGTTACCATCATCTTTGCTTTGTTTTTGTTTCTCCTCATCCTGAAAGGGCGGCCTACGCCGGCGGACTCCATCTTGTTCTGTGTCCTTCACCTAGACCACGCCTCCTCCCCTTGAGTAACCTCCCGCTCACCTGTTCAAACTTCCTGATCAAAACACGCCCAGCGACCTGCGTAACAGGACTCCAAAACACGCCCAGCGACCTGCGTAACAGGACTCCGACCCTTCCCCAGCCAATCAGCTGAGGCCACAGCCATTACCTCACCAACTGCCCCTAGACCCGTATAAAACCTTTGTGCTTTTGAAACTCGCTCTCTCTCCCCGGTATCTCACCGCTGCGTCGGTGCAGGTAGGGGATTGAGCTCGAGCTAGCTCGAATAAAGGCTCTTTTGCTTTTGCCTCGGACTCAGCTCCCTGGCGGTATTTGGGGATCACGAATTCTGGGCATAACAATCCCTCTTTACAAATATCTTTTGTGCCTCCCTGAGCAATCCTTCTATTTGCTTCTCATTCCATCCATCCATCTTCTGCACTTTCTGGCAATATCAGGCCAACTTCTAGTGACAAAATTAACCTTCAGGAGACCCTGCCCAATAGGTTCTCTGAATGTAGAGACCTGAATATTTCCTCATTTGATCCCTAAGCCTCTGTAAGACAGTAGTTGGGGTTTCCTCCTTCTCTTGCTATATCTCAAAAGCTTTGGTGACATCCTGATATCTTGGAGCTGATTCCCTGATCCCTTTATTAGCTCTCTTAGATCCTGCATCCTAACCCTGTCCCCAGGATCATGTCGTCCCAACCAGGTCTACAACCAGCCCTGTTGAGCTCACCTAACATCCAGGCTGGGTGGGTGCTCTCTTTCCCAAATAGACATTGCAGCCCTCATGATAATTCCTCTTTCCTCTTCGGTAAATAAGATATTTGTGATAAACATCAGCTCAGCCCAAGAATAAACATTAGGTCCCCAGAACTGATCAACCTGATCTGCCAAGCCCAATAGAGCTTCCAACAGTGGTTTTATTTCCTTCTTGAAATTCCTTACCTCAGAACTGGTGAGGGGGGGCACTGACAAAGCCAATTTCTACCTGTCCCAAAGGGACCTCCCTTAATGAGAATAACCTAGAACCCTTTCCTGAGCCCCTGGAGGGAAGAGGGAAGTTCTCTATGTCCTTCCCACGTTGTTCCAGTTCCTTCCTCAGATTTGGACACAAACCAGTAGACAAGGAGCGTCCTCCCAGTACTGTAGCATTTGTCCCAGTGGACTATCTGGGGGAATCTGAAGAGTCCTCACCTCTTTCTGGGTGTCTCTTCCCTTACCCCTAATACTAGAATTTCTGTTCCCCATCCTTGACCAGGCTAGTTCCTGCTTCTGAGTTTCCCTGGGATGTTCAACCACCCTTAATGGAGGTTTCCTGAAATCTCCAGAACCCGCTTCATCTGTCTCCAGATGTTTCCCTTGCAGGAGAAGGGAAACTTGGATCAAGACTCAGCATTCCCGGGGCGCCTGGGTGGCGCAGTCGGTAAAGCGTCCGGCTTCAGCCAGGTCACGATCTCGCGGTCTGTGAGTTCGAGCCCCGCGTCAGGCTCTGGGCTGATGGCTCGGAGCCTGGAGCCTGTTTCTGATTCTGTGTCTCCCTCTCTCTCTGCCCCTCCCCCGTTCATGCTCTGTCTCTCTCTGTCCCAAAAATAAATAAAAACGTTGAAAAAAAAATTCAAAAAAAAAAAAAAAGACTCAGCATTCCCTTTGTATCTAGGATACTCAAGACTCAGCATTCGCTTTATATCTAGGATACGTCTCAGTCACACACACTCAGCCTCTGAGGATTTCCAGACTCCCAAGGTAATACTTATAGGCTAACTTGCCTACCTTAGTCCCTGCACAGAATTACCAGGTAGCTGCCATAGGCTACACCCAGCATCACTTCTATCTCCATAGGTAAAAAAAGTTCTTGAGTTCCATGAATCCCCCAAGGCCAGGGGCCCTCCCGCAAAAAGGCCACCCAAACTGAGGTGGGACACGTCTCCCTTCTCACAAGAGGACCTGGACCCTGCCTGCTGACGTGAATCTTGGCCAAGCCCCCAAATTGCCAGAAATAAGCCCCCTGTTATAGGTGGGGAGTGGATAGAAACCTGAGACAAAGTAGAGGTGCTTGATCCAAGGTGTGTGAGAGCATGAAGTTCCTACGCCAGTGACTAGGGAGCTGGGTAAAGCCATTTCCACCTCTCAGGTACCGGTGCATGGGCACACGTACACCGATCCACCTCAGTGAGCTAAGTAGCGCCACCTAGTGGAGAACAGAACCATTACACTAAGCCCTGCCTAACAGTGCCCTCTAAGCACACCCCCCAGAAGACCATTGCAAGTCACTCTACCTGCTTAGTATATGGACCATAGAGTGCTTCATATTTTCAGTTCTAGGAGAAACTGGATGTAACCATTCATGTTTCATTCTGCTCACTGGTTCGATTATTTGTTCATTTTCTTTGCTTCTGTATTTGCTTAAAGTTTTTTATTTTTCATTCTTTCTTTTCTTTCTCTTTCTTAGTTAAAAAAATTTTATTTTTTTACTTTATTTTTTATTTTTAATTTTTTATTCTATTTCATTTATTTTATTCTGTAATTTAAAACATTTTTTTCTTACTGTTTTTTCTTCTTTCCTTTCTCTTTCTTCTCTATTCTGTCAAGCCTCTTTCAACAAGCAGACCAAAACATACCTGGGATCCAGCTTCCTTTATTTGATTTTTTTGTTTTATTTTTAATTTTTTAATTTTAATTTTTTATTTTATTATTTTTTCTTCCTCCAAAATGACAAAATGAAGGAATTCACCCCAAAAGAAAGAACAGGAAGAAATGAAAGCCAGGGACTTAATCAACACAGATATAAAATGTCTGAACTAGAATTTAGAACCACGATAAGAATACTAGCTTGCATTGAAAAAAACATAGAAGACACCAGAGAATCCCTTTGGGTGGAGATTAAAGAAATAAAATCTAGGGGCGCCTGGGTGGCGCAGTCGGTTAAGCGTCCTACTTCAGCCAGGTCACGATCTCGCGGTCCGGGATTTCGAGCCCCGCGTCGGGCTCTGGGCTGATGGCTCAGAGCCTGGAGCCTGTTTCCGATTCTGTGTCTCCCTCTCTCTCTGCCCCTCCCCCATTCATGCTCTGTCTCTCTCTGTCCCAAAAATAAATAAACGTTGAAAAAAAAATAAAAAAAATAAAAAGAAAATCTAGCCAGGCTGAAATTAAAAATGCTATAACTGTGATGCAATCTCGACTGGATGCCATGATGGTAAGGCTGAACAAAGCAGAGCAGCAAATGAGTGATATAGAAGAAAAAAATATGGAGAATAATGAAGCAGAAAAAAAGAGGGAAACATAGGCTACAGATCACGATACAAGACTTAGAGAACTCAGTAACTTATTAAAAAAATAACATCCAAATTATAGGAGTCCCAGAAGGTGAAGAGAGAGAAAAAGAAGCAGAAGATTTATGTGAGCAAATTATATCAGAAAACTTTCCTAATCTGAGGAAGGGCACAGACATCAAAATGCAAGAAGCACAGAGAACTCCCATTAGATTCAACAAAAACCAACCATCACCAAGGCATATCATAGTAAATTCACAAAATATACATACAAGGAAAGAATTATGAAAGCAGCAAGGGGAAAAAGCCTTTAACCTATAAGGGAAGACAGATCAAGCTCACAGCAGACCTATTCACAGAAACTTGAGAGGGCAGAAAAGGAGTGGCAGGATATATCTCACGTGCTGAATTGGAAAAACATGTAGCCAATAATTCTTCATCCAGCAGGTCTGTCATTCAAAATAGGAGAGAAAAAATTTCCCAGAAAAACAAAAACTAAAAGAGATCATGACCACTAAACCAGCCCTGTAAGAAATTTTAAGGGGAACTCTTTGAGTGGAGAAAAGACAAAAGTAAACAAAACAAAACCAAAAGCAACAAAGACTAGAAAGGACCTGAGAACACCACCAAAAACACCAACTCTACAGGCAACACAATGGCACTAAATTCATACATTTCAGTACTCACTCTAAATGTCAATGGACAAAATCCTCCAATCAAAAGACATATGGTATCAGAATGGAAAAGAAAACAACACCATCCATATGCTGCTTACAAGAGACTCATTTTAGACTTAAAGACACCTGAAGATTGAAAGTAAGGGGATGGAGAACCATTTATCATCTCAATGGTCATCTAAAGAAAGCTGGAGTAGTCATACTTATATCAGACAAACTATATTTTATTTTATTTTTTTTAATTTTTTTTTCAACATTTATT